TCAAGTTCATCCAGTCCTTCCAATAAGGAAAACAATTCTCTTCAAACTCATCCTCAAATAGATTCCAAATTCTTTCCTCAGTTCAACCCATATCCATAGCCTCTCCAAAAACATGGGCAAACATAGCTGAGGAAGAAGATGAAAAACAAGCATACTCTGACCATCTCAAACAATTGGCTAAATCTCATGGATATCAACCGATCCACTAGGATATCCTGTTTGGGATACACCAAACCATTTTAAATTGGCTTTAAACCAAAACATCAAGCCCAAACAGTCCAAACCTATTGTGATCCAAGAATCTAAGACCTTGGCTAACTTTGAACCAAAACCAAACAAAACTTCCTACCCATATGTCAAATCAATTACCCACATTCCTGTGGTCCAAACCGAACTAAATTACTGGCTCGAACTATTCTTCCAGACACCTACAATTGCATACCTCAAACTCTTACCAAGACACTTGAATATTATAAACTCATTCTCACATATTCAAAGTCTTTGATCCTTAAATCCCACAAAATCAAAATGAAAGAAAAAAAAATGGAAACCCTACTAGAAAATACATCAATACTCATTCTAGTGCCCAAATTCTAAAGGTTATCAAGCCTTCAGAATGGGGAACAAATCTAAACAAACCTAAACCTTAACCTTTTTCCACTTCCTTTAATCCCCCAGATTATACTTATTAGGATTATAAGGCAGCATGGTTCTATACCTTCACTTTCCAAAACAAATTAAAGTAACATTCTTATCTTTTCTATTTTTTGAAAATAAACAACTATGATTTTTTAGCATGGAATGTAACATGGTGGAAAACACTTGGACCTAATATGAAAATTCTTCCTCCAGATATCCAACAAAGTTACAAATTATTCAAAATAGATTTGAACTCCCAAACAACTATATACCAATCAGCCTGCACTTCTTTTCCATATTCTCGGTAGTATGGGTCTATCAGTAAAAATACGAATACATACAACAAACACAGCTTCTTCCATTATTAGTCCGACAAGGATATTCAAAATGGTAACTAATATTCAATAAAAATTTCATTCAACCAGCAAACATCCAAGCATGGTTTCAGAAGAATCCTCGCTCAATAAAATTCGGATATAGTCAAACAAGTCAGTTTTTGCAGTAGAAGTCTATCTCAGTAGCCAAACTGTCATCAATCACTGATAAACAAGAGTATATCAAACAACTCAAAAATATACTTCTACAACTGGATCAATCAAAAAAAACTTCAAACAAAGAGAAGACCTCCAGTTCTGGAACAAAACTTAATAAATATGAAAGTCCAGAAAATGAAAATGATTGTTATGAAATTTTTTCACAAATTCCATAAGGTCACAAAACAACAAAGAAGAAAACAAGAAAATTATTTTTACTGTAACATCGGAAGCACTGTAGTAGTCCAACAAGTTATTGTGCAAACACGACAACAAAAGACAAACGATGTACTATAGCGCGCACTGTAGCAAACACTGTAGCTGGTACTGTGGCAACACGAAAATTTTGATATCAATACCCTTCAAATCCAACACAATAGACACATCATTCTGAACACCATTCTTATATCATTCTTCAAACTCTTCCTTCTCTCTAGATTTGAAGAAACTCTCCCCTTTCTCTTTACAAATTAGTTTTAAATTTTAGTTTTTAGAATTAAACAAAGGAGCGAGCCTTGCAAGCTGCCCAAACATTGTAAGTCTTCTTACAAACACATATTTAATCTTATTCAATCAAATGGTCGGTTGATCCGCCTCATATTCATATTCATCTATTTGTTTTATTTATTTTGATTATACTAACCATACATGGTTGGTTCAACTACCTATACTAATTAGTGACAGTCCGATTGCGATCCACTTCCTAACCTTTATGCATTCTATTTAAGAAATTCCTGAAAAAGAGAAAAAATAACTCTACCTAAACAAATTCAAAGAAACCCTGAACCAAACCTCAACCTCTTTAAATCCATTAGCCAAAGATCCAAAACTTCTCAAAACCTATAATCTCACAAACATTCTTGATAGGTTTCCCTCCAAACCTACCAAACCCTTAACCCTTCAAAATCTCCAAACAAAAATTGATCATTTTAAAGAAGAAATTAGGGCAGTCAAAGCTAAACAAGAACTTGACAGCCTTGTTCTTCAAAATCTAGTACCAATCAGAGAACCTATTGGTTCAAATATTCAAGATGATACTGTATTCTTAAACCAATTATCCAAAAAATTCAAGAAAAACAAAGATCACTTGATCCAAATTCGATTACTAATTAACAATAATTACGTAATCGAAACTGAAGCCTTATTTGACACTGAGGCAGACCAAAACTGTATTCTTGAAAATCTTGTTCCATCCTAATTTTTTGAAAAAATCAAAGAAGTTCTTAGAGGAGCTGATGGAGCTAAACTTGAAGTAAGTTTCAAACTAACAAATGTTTAGATCCAATTCTCCTTTGCATCAATCCCAAATTCCTTTTTTCTAGCCAAAAAACTAACCAACAATGTCATATTAGGAATGTCCTTTATTCGACAACTAATTCCTTACCAAACCACAGAAGAGGGCATAATACCTCAACTCCTTGATCCTAATGCCATCTTACCCTTCTCTAAATCATTTAAACAAACAAATTCTGTTTTGCAAGAAAATGACGAGCTCAACATCTAGAAAAATCAGCAACTGGAAGCCAACCAAGCTTGCTGATAGTACAATATTGTATATTTCAAAAGATTATTATTCATATAAGCAGGAGTGTAGGAAAGACAAGATCAGATACTTTGATGTTGTATTCTACAACACAAAGACTAGACAATGAATCCCCCCATATTTCAGGCATGAACATGACAACATTGCTGCAAAATCAACAAACAATACCGTCCGAAACTTAAAAGATCAAAGCTTCATGAAACGGAGAAAAATTCAAAGATTAATCCTTAATAAACATTGGCTCAAGGAATGAGGAATACAAACACCTGAATATGACAAAATGATTCAGGAGACAAAACAAGAGCTATCTGTAACAATCTGCTAAAAATACAAACAACTGGCTTAATCGAAACAAAATTCAAAAAAAATTATTTTTATTGTAACACCGAAAGCACTGTAGCAGTCCGACAAGTTACTGTGCAAATACGGCAACAAAAGACAAACGATTTATTGTAGCGCATACTGTAGCAGTACTGTAACAACACGAAAATTTTGCTATAAATACCCCTCAAAACCAACACAATTCACACACTATTCTGAGTACCATTCTTACATCATTCTTCAAGTTCTTCTTTCTCTCTAGATTTGAAGAAACTCTCCTCTCTCTTTCTACAAACTAGTTTTCATTTTTAGTTTTTAGAATCAAACAAGGGAGCGAGCCTTGCAAGCTTCTCAAACATTGTAAGTTTTCTTACAAACTCATATTCAATCTTATTCAATCAAATGGTCGGCTGAACCGCCTCATATTCATATTCATTTACTTGTTTTATTTATTTTGATTATACTAAACATACATGGCTGGTTCAACTGTCTATACTAACTAGTGGCAGTTCGACTGCGATCAACTTCCTAACCTTTATGCTTTCTATTTAATTTATATTATTTACTTTCATAGTTTAAGGGGCTAACCCCTCGTTCCATCGCTTAAATTCGTGATTACCATTTTTCTTTATTTATGATGTTGCTAGTGTAGATCTACAAGTTTAGATCTCTCTGATGAGATTGGTTAATTTTGTGATTACTATTAATGTATTCAAACTTATTATATTATTGATATTATTGATTTTTTGACTTTGGATCTGTTCGAGGGACATGAAGTCTGTAATTGTTAACCTCCGGTCCAAGTTGAGTCATGAGATTTGATAGTCCTGTAGGGATGTTAAGAAACCTGTGGTCCCGAGATCCAAGACGGTGAAATGTCGAAGGATCAGATCTGATTTCATGAATTTTTACTATCTATATTATGATTTTGTTTGAAAATATAGTCGTCATACATAGTTAATATTTTTCAAATGTTAGATGTATTTTTGTAGCCTCATCACTATCTTTATTATGATGAAAATATGGTCGTCATATATAGTTAATCTTTCTCAAAAGGTTATATCTTTTCTTGTAATTCCCTCATTATCTTTGTTATAATCGATTTAAAAAAATGGTTATTCTCCATAGATCCTGAAGGATTCTATGCCAAAAGAAAGAGGATTATAAGTTGTTTAAATTATTTATTTATTTAACTTGTCTCTGCTTATGGCTACATTTGTCAAGACAAATTCCAAATCTCCTATTTCTTCTTTAAACAATAAACCACTAGATGACCTTTAAACCAAAATTGCTCGAATTGAGCAATCAATCCTTATTCAGCAAAAACTAGAAAACAAACCTTCTGAATTTCGGATTGACAAACAATACCTTAGATCGGAATTTTTTGCAAACCACAATCATTTTAAAAGAAAATAATTTTTTGACAAATATCAGGGAAAACCCCGAAAAAATATATAAGAAAACTTTTATGACTTTTTAAGAAAAACAAAACAGCATATTCATTTTTTTGACTAGTATGAGTCTCAAACTTCTCAAGAGTCCACAACAGAACTCAAATATTCATTCCAAAATATTTCAAAACATGCATCCTTTATGTCAAAAACTATAAACACTCCAACTTTTATACAAGAACCCTTAGATCTATTCATAGATCTATCTCAAACAAACCATGAATCCTCTCATGAACTCCTAGCAGAATTAATAGATCCATCAAAATCAATTCATATAAACTCAGTAAATTCACCAAAATCTTTTTCAAATTATGAATTCATACCAGAATCGATAAACCTATCAGATTCGCAAAAAGTTTTGGAAAACAAATTTATAGATCTACCAAAGTCTCCCATAAATCTATCAAACCATAAAGATTTACTAAATCAAGAATCTAACATTCTAGTTTAAATGAAATCATAATATAAATAGCAAAAATCCATGAAATCAGATCTAATCTTTCGACACTTTACCGTCCTGGATCTCGGACCACAGGAACCTTAACATCCCTACAGGACTGCCAAATCTCATGGCTCAACCTGGACCGGAGGTTATCAATTACAGGCTCCATGTCCCTCGGACAGATCTAAAATCATAAAATCAATACTATCAATACTATAATAAATTTGAATACATTAGACAGTAATCACGAAATTAACCAATTTCATCAGAGAGATCTAAACTTGTAGATCAACACTAGCAACATCATAAATAAAGAAAGATGAAAATCACGAAATTAATCAATCTCATCGGAAAGATATAAACTTGTAGATCTACACCAACAATATCATAATAAGTAAAGAAAAATAGCCATCATCAAACAATCTCATCAGGAAGATATAAACTTGTAGATCTACACTAATAATATGATAATAAGTAAAGAAAAATAACCATCACCCCATTTCTCCCTCTGGCTCTGATACCAGACAGAACTAGGGATTAGCCCATTAAATCATGAAAGTAAATAATATAAATTAAATAGAAAGTATAAAAGTTAGGAAATAGGTCGCAGTCGGACTGTCACTAGTTAGTATAGGCGGTTGAACCAACCGCGTATGGTTAATATAATTAAAATAAATAAAACAAGTAAATTAATATGAATATGAGGCGGCTTAGCCGACCATTTGATTGAATATGATTGAATATAAATTTGTAAGAAAACTTACAGTGCTTGGGATGTTTGCAAGGCTCGCTCCTTATTTGATTCTAAAAATTAAAAACTAAAACTAATTTGTAGAGAGAGATGGGAGAGTTTCTTCAAGTCTAGAGAAAAGGAAGAACTTGAAGAATATGTAAGAATGGCATTCAGAATGGTGTGTCTATTGTGTCGGATTTGAGGGGTATTTATAGGAAAATTTCTGCGTTGCCACAGTATTCGCTACAGTGTTTGCTACGGTACTGCTATAGTGCGCGCTACAGTAATCTTTTATCTTTTGTTGCCGTATTTGCACAATAATTTGATGGACTACTACAGTACTTTCGGTGCTACAGTAAAAAATATTTTTCTTGTTTTCTTTTTTGTTGTTTTGTGGCCTTCTAAAATTTGTGAGAAAATTCCATAACAATCATTTTTATTTTCTAGGCCTTCCTATTCATCAAGTTTTGTTCCAGAACTAGAGGTCTTCTTTTTGTTTGAAGTTTCTTTTAATTGATCCAATTGTAGAAGTATATCTTTGAACTTTTTGATATACTCTTGTTTATCTGAAATTGATGCTAGCTTTACTGTTAAGATAGACTTCTACTGCAAAAACTGACTTGTTTGACTGCCTTCAGATTTTATTAAGCGAAAATTCTTCTAAAATCATGTCTGAATGTTTGCTGGTTTAATGAAATTTTTATTGAATGTTGGCCACCATTTTAAATATCATTGTCGAACTAATAATGGAGGGAGCTGTGTTTGTTGTATATATCGTATTTCCACTGGTAGAGCCATGCTATCAAGAATATGGAAAAGAAGTACAGACTGATTGGTATATAATTGTTTGGGAGTTCAAATCTATCTTTAAATAATTTGTAACTTTGTTAGATATCTGGAGGAAAAATTTCTAGATTAGATCCAAGTGCTTTCCACCATGCAACAAACCATGTTGGAAATCATACTTATTTGTTTTCAAAAAATAGAAAAGATAAGAATATTGGTTTAATTCATTTGAAAAAGGTATGATTTTCTTTTGAGATACAACCATACCATTTTTCTGGATAACATGCACGAAAGTATTTAGGTGTTTGAAGTGTTGTTCAATATTTTCTGAAAAAATCGAAAAATACATCAATACTCATTCTAATGCCCAAATTCTAAAGGTTAGCAAGCCTTCAGAATGTTAGTATAATCAAAATAAATAAAACAAATAAATGAATATGAATATAAGGTGGCTCAGTCGACCATTTGATTGAATAAAATTGAATATGAATTTGTAAGAAAACTTACAATGTTTGAGAAGCTTGCAAGACTCGCTCTCTTGTTTGATTCCAAAAACTAAAAACTAAAACTAATTTGTAGAGAGAAAATGGAGAGTTTCTTCAAGTCTAGAGAGAAGGAAGAGCTTGAAGAATGATGTAAGAATGGTGTTCAGAATGGTGTGTTTGTTGTGTTGGATTTGATGGGTATTTATAACAAAATTTTTGTGTTGCTACAGTACCCAATACAGTGTTTGTTACAGTACTGCTACAATGCGCGCTACTGTACATCGTTTATCTTTTGTTACCGTGTTTGCACAGTAACTTACCGGACCACTACAGTGCTTCCGATGCTATAGTAAAAATATTTTTTATTTTCTTCTTTATTGTTTTGTGACCTTGTGAAATTTGTGAGAAAATTTCATAACAATTATCTTCATTTTCTGGACCTTCATATTCATTAAGTTTTGTTCCAGAACTGAATGCATTCTCTTTGTTTAAAGTTTCTTTTGATTGATCCAGTTGTAGAAGTAAATCTTTAAACCGTTTGATATACTCTTGTTTATTAGTGATTGATACCAGTTTGACTGTTGAGATAAATTTCTACTGCAAAAACTGGCTTGTTTGACTATCTCCAGATTTTATTGAGCGAGAATTCTTCTGAAATCATGCCTGAATATTTGCTGGTTGAATGAAATTTTTATTGAATGTTGGCCACCATTTTGAATATCCTTGTCGGACTAATAATGGAGGGAGTTGTGTTTGCTGTATGTATTCGTATTTCCACTGGTAGATTCATGTTACCGAGAATATGGAAAAGAAGTGCAGACTGATTGGTATATAGTTGTTTGAGAATTCAAATCTATCTATGAATAATTTGTAACTTTGTTGGATATCTGGAGGAAGAATTTTCAGATTAGATCAAAGTGCTTTGCACCATGCTACAAACCATGTTGGAAAATCATGCTTGTTTGTTTTCAAAAAATAGAAAAGATAAGAATATTAGTTTAATTCATTTGAAAAAGGTATGATTTTCTTTTGGGATACAACCATATCATTTTTCTGGGTAACATGCACAAAAGTATTTAGGTGTTTGAAGTGCTGTTCAATATTTTCTGAAAAAATCAAAAAATACATCAATACTCATTCTAGTGCCCAAATTCTACAAGTTATCAAGCCTTCAAAATGTTAGTATAATCAAAATAAATAAAACAAGTAAATGAATATGAATATGAGGCGGTTCAGTCGACCATTTGATTGAATAAGATTGAATAAGAGTTTGTAAAAAAACTTACAATGTTTGGGAAGCTTGCAAGGCTCGCTCCCTTGTTTGATTCCAAAAATTAAAATAAAACTAGTTTGTAGAGAGAGAGAGGAGAATTTCTTCAAGTTTAGAGAGAAGGAAAAGTTTGAAGAATGATACAAAAATGGTGTCCAGAATGGTGTGTCTATTGTGTTGGATTTGAGGAGTATTTATAGCAAAATTTTCGTGTTGCCATAGTACTTGCCACAGTGTTTGCTACAATATTGTTACGGTGCGCGCTACAGTACATCGTTTGTTTTTTGTTGTCATGTTTGCACAATAACTTGCCGGATTACTACAGTGCTTCCGGTGTTACAGTAAAAAAATTTTTCTTATTTTCTTCTTTGTTGTTTTGGCTCTGAACACCATTTTGAACACCACTACCCTCTGGCTCTGATACTAGACGGGACGAGGAGTTAGCCCCTTAAACCAGAAAAGTAAATAATATAAATTAAATAAAAAACATAAAGGTTAGGAAGTGGGTCGCAGTTGGATTGTCACTAGTTAGTATAGACGATTCATTTATTTTATTTTATTTTTAAAAATAAAAAATAATTATTTTATTTTTAAAAATGAATAAAATAATAATATTTTAATAAATAATAAAATATTAGAAATATATATAATCATATATATATATATATATATATATATATATATATAATAAAGTCGTATTCTCATTCTTATCCTTTCATGTTTTCTCTTTTCTACGTGGCTTAACGAGACGGCAAGTAGTTTCCTACGTGACTTGCTCCTTTTTTGTTTAGATATATATCAATTCTTATTTCCTATAAGAATTCTTAATATTATATGATTCTTATTTCCTACCCAAAAGAGGAACTGGAAAGTAATGCGATATAAATAAAAGAGACATAAATATCTCTATTAGATATATCTCCAAATTCATGCCAATAATTTGTGTACTGCATAGGGAACCGAAGTAAATAAGAATTGTTATCACTACAAGAAGTAGAAAAGTAACTAATTACCGAAGTAAATTATTAGATGTTCAAATTTATATTATAAGAATACTTTATATTACAATGCGCATATAGTAATATACTTAAGAAAGGTTATAATGAAATAGACATTAAGTTTGTATTTCATATCGATATTTTTATAAAATTAACTAAATAGTTTATTATTTTTCAATGATTCCCGTTCAACGAACGAGTACAAAACTAGTTTTACTATTAAAATAAAAAAATAAAAATATATATAATCGAGCTTGCAAGCCCAACAAACTTAATGTTTTTGAATTCGAACTCGAACTCGACTTGATTAACTCGAGTTCGACTCGAACTCGATATTGACCATCTCGAGTCGAGCTCGTATTCGAGCTGCTATTCTCCGCATGCATAACAACTTAATTTATTCATTTATTTTATATTTAGTTTATATTTTCTAACACGTTTTTCTTTTTGTAAGTATGATTTTCTAACTCTAGATTTTCTGAGATAACATTTCTTCTTAGGATAATATTTTTTATTTTGTATTTTTTCTTTTCTAGTTTATCACAATTTTGTATTGTATAAATATTTTTGCAAAAACTATGTTTTCCTTTTAATTGTTTTTGTATTACTATCATTGTACACCTTTCTTCTAGTTCTGTCATTATAAACTTTACTACTACTATTATATTTTTAAGTGTTGGTTCAGTCCATTCTATTTTCTTCTATTTTTCATAAATTATTTTTCCCAATTGTTCTGGGAGTTTTAATACTAATTTTTCTATTATTCCTTCATCATAAAAACATCCGACTAAAAGTGCATGATATGTATATTCTTTTATAAATTGTTTTACTTGATTCTAGTTACTAATACTAATTTGTTCTAATTTCCTGATTGCTTCTTGTTGCTGCATTAGAGTTCCTCTATTTGGACTTTGTGCCGTTAATAGTGATTGAATCCTATTTGTAAAATTATGGAAATCATTTCCTAACATCATATCTTCTGCTAATATATTGGGATATTTTTCTTTATATTTTTTCCATGCTGCTTTAACTGTTTCTCCTAAAAATGTTTCTAAATATGTATACATTTCTGTAGTATTATGATCAAATCCTTTTTGTATATAATGCCTAACTACTTTATATTTCCAATGGTCTATAATGATATTCCAAATTTGAGAATCATGTGCTGTTAAATTTAATATTAAGCCATCATCTATTAAATTCTTTTTATCCAACATTTTTAGAGGCTGTTTTTTACCTCTTGGTTTATATTTTACTATTGGTTCTTTATACTCGTTATATGTTGGTCTAGATAAGTTTCCTGGGTTATATACTACTGGTTGCTATAGAGGTTGTGCACAACTACTACTACTTGAGTCCATCATTTCTTCTGTATTTATTTCTGTATTTTCTATATCATTTTCTTCTTTTATCCGAATATTTCCTTGGTTATCATAATATATTATTTCCGTTACACTTATCTGTCCTATAATTTCTAGTTGTCTTTCTAGGTCAATTAATTCTTTTTCTGTCAATTTTATTCCTAGTTCTTTGGGATATAAAATTTATGTTCTGTCTCAATACTATCTATATTTTCAATATGTTCTTCTAGTAATATATTTTCTTCAGTATATTCTATTTCATCATTTTCATTTCCTAGATTAGTCTTTTCATAGTTTAAAAGCCTCACGCTAGTTCCCTTATTTCCTTTATATATTATACTATCTTTTGGGATTAGAGGAGTTGTTTCTTCTAAGAATTCACAAAGGTTCCGTTCTTCTCCTGCTTATTTTTCTGATTGCTGGTCTGCTTCTCTTTATATAGAGTAAGTAAGAGTAATCTGCTCTGGAATATTCTTTTGTTGAAGTCATTGCTTGAGTAAAGAGAGTGCTTGTTGACGTCATTTCTTATGTCATTTTATCTTCTTTTGTTTAGGATTCTATTTTCTAATTGGTCTCTTGAGAATTGGTATCTATCCTTTTTTATTGGCTGGGTTCGGGATGAATAATGATCTTGATAAAATTTCTTAATTACCTGGAAAAATAATTAATTCCTTGAATACTAATCTTGTTAAAATTTCAACAAAAAATTCAGGAAATTCTATTCTTGATATAATAATGGAGTGCAACTTGTTTTTCCGCGTAGTCATTGAAAGTTGGATGCCTTTTGAATAAGTCATAATCTTCGCGAAAATTGAACGCATAATTTCAAAGAGTCCTCCAAAATTGTGCCACTAATTGTAGAACCATATTGAAAAATCATGGGTTACTGACAGTAATAATTGAATGAAACGAAAGTGAGAGAAGGGTCAAAAATAAAATATTCATCTCCATGCTTTTATGTAATCATAATAAGTGTAAATTGCAGGTTTATTTGGAGTAAAGAATTAATTTTAGGTTTGATAACCAGATATTGGCCAGTTGTTTGATTTGATGATTCTTTTGCTTTTTATTTTATGATATTTGGCTTGATCTATGGAGTATTATCTGGATATCAAGTTAAAGGCTCTATGGAGTCTATTTCTAAAAGAATTTGTTCATAAAATTTTCTGGTTTTGAAAGGAGTTTCTGTAAAATAAAATAGATTAGGATGAAAAAAGGTTTGAATTGTGAGAGTTTGAAAATTTTCGTTTACACTTTAATGCATGTTTACATGTTTATTGCTCCTTTTAATAAACAAATGAATTAATATATCTTATGAGAAATTGTATCATTATACCATAAAATTCTAATACTAGTCGAATTTTGTTGGGAAGTAAAAAAAAAAAAAAAAAGAGCAACAGCAACAACAAAATATGTAGGACATTTGTCCTTACCAACTGTCCAAAAGACATGCAAATGTATTATTACTCATCATCGAAGAATCAGAGCTAGTGCTCTATATTTCAGTCGACCAAGAGAAATGGTAGAAACTATCCTTAGCTTTCTTCTTCCTTAGTTTCTTAAAGTAGCCCAAAGACAATCAAGAGGAAAGCAGAGAACCACACACAAGTAGAAACTCATTTCTTACATTTCTTCAACCGTGAAAACCAGTTAAAAATCAAGAAAAAATTTGTAGTCTATCTAACTAAGAGTCGGGAAAAGAGAGACATCAGCAATCTTCCTAACTTAAAGCCATTAAGAACTAGAGGTAATCTGCTAAATGTTTTTCAATTTTCTTCTGTGTTTAGTTAGCAATGTCTCAGGTAAAAAAATTTTGGTAAAAGTTGCTACAAGCTACCCGATGAACTAAGCTGCAAATTCTTACCTGTTTCTTCCAAAAACTTGTTAAAATTTTATTGCATGTCTTATATGTACTCCTTAATTTACATATCTTGACATGCATGCAACTTATACCTTTAAACGAAACCTATTAAGATGAGATTATAATGAAATGCTGGTTGGAATTCTTGATACAATGAAGAATGACTGCCGATAGAGTAAAGTTCAGTTTCTTGCTAAAAGTTTTTGTTGAACCTGATTAGGATTTAGTTTAAACAACACCCATGGCTTTAATCTGATCATGCATGTGATATTTGGAGTGTTCAAAGCAAGAAAAGATGAACTTTTAAAGCAGCATCAAATCTAGAATTTCAAGACAGCAAATTAGGAAGAAAAACGCTGCAACTTTGGTCATTTTCTTGAAAAATATTACTAGATCATGATTGAAATTCATGCTTTATGCCTTGTCTAATGTTTCTAGAGTGATGCATGTGAGTTTAGGAGCTGGTTTTGTTGTTTTATAGCTGGTTTCTTGCTGGAAATTCCAGTTTTGGCCGAATGAAAAGAAAGCTTATATTTTTTTTTATCTCTCTTGCGAAATTTCTGAAAGTTTAAACTAAGAAGCTCCTCCTGCTAAATACTTAATACCATCTTTCAGGATTAACTTTATTTTTTAATTGAAAAAGAGTATGCTTCAACTTGTCCCATGACATGGCGACCTACGTGTTCCTTCGATCTTACAGTTCCCTCAGGTTCCAATTTCTCATTTTACACCTTTTCTATTCCTGCCCTTAGTGTACTATATTTTCATCTAATATTCTTGCTTGTCATGACATTATCTTTGCATAAATAAATTCTCTTTGCATAAATAAATACATAATACTTATTATAAAAAGATTAGGAAGATTTTCAGTTTTCATTAGTCTTCACTGGAAGACCAAATGGATTTGGACTACGTTTTAGAAGATTTTTTCAGATCTTCCTTCCATGTTTGTCCTGATCAAACCCAATCAATTAAAAGCAAGAAAATCTTTCCCACAATCCACCGGAACGGACCAAATCTTTTTCTTTTCTTTTTTTTAAACCTTAATGTCCACAAATTACAAGCCCAATAGCCCAAACTGATCCAAAAGGTCTTTCCAGTCAAATTGGTCAAAATAACTAGTTGAGTCAAGAACTCACCTGCTGAAGTGAGAAATGTCGTTTTTGGGCAGAGTCGCCGGCGGAAGCCAAGACGGAAAGCAGGGAAGACTTTCTTCCTCGCTTCTCCTCTTCCTTTCCCGACCAGCGACTCTCCTCTCCTCCCCGATCTGATGAATCCCCGTTCATTTAGCTCCTGCAGCCGCATTCTTTACTTGCCGGAGGCTCTCTCTTTCTTTCTCTCTCGGTGGATGAGTAAAGTTTTGGCATCTATCTAATGAATTTGATTCCATGACTGTTGCGCCAATTATTGTCCTTTGCTGATTATTGTCTAGTGGATTTACTGTTCATTCATTTTGGGATTTTTGTTTTATCATGGGATTTTCGTAGTTTTGTTTTTTCGGACTCGATTCCTGAGTATCGTGTCAATTACAACTTTATCCGATGGATTTTACTGTTCATCCTTTTTTGGCTTGTTATCGTCGGTTTCTTTTTTCAATTTTAGAAGAGCAAAAAAAATTTTTTTTTTTGCGGGGCCGTTGGGGGGGGGGGGGGTGGTGGTGGTTCTCCTGTATTGAATCGGGATGACTCGCTCTATTCGTCTGTTTTTTTCCTATCTCACCGAGTCTAATCAGTACCCAGTCCGAGCGGGTAAAGACCGCCTTTTGCTTTGGATAAAATTTGCTACTCTGTATAGGCTTTAGAAAACCACCAGCCCAAAATGTCACATTTTAGGGTGGGAGGGAAAATGTCACGTTTAAGTGATTTGTTTCAAAAAATTCAGATGGGTGTATTGTGCACCCGTTTGGTTCGATGGTGATTTCGTTTCCTCCGAGTTATTCTTGAGCCTTCTTAAGTCCGCCCACTTTTCCTTAGTGTAGAATAGATTATGTTATATAACTGTTGTTGTTGTCGTCTCCGAAACAAAAAAAGGCACAGGCTTTAGAAATAATTCTGTGGTGGGTTTTATTATTTGAGTTAGCCTCTGTTGTATTGCTCTCTTGGCTTGCAAAGAGATTATAGATGTTATTACATTGCTATTCCTGTTTAGTGATTATTATCTCTCTCTTGATGAATTTTTTTTTCATTTCCTTTTCTTCCTTCAATTGCTGAATTCTTGATTTTTTTTTTTTTCCCTGTGGGCTTTCTCTTTGGGAAATTCCAGGTGCTGTTATCTGTCTGGGGTCAATCTGTTTTCAAATTTGAGTATGTATGTGCTTAAGTACAAAGCATGCTGCTAGAAACAGCCTCAGGACTTGCAATTTCTCATGCAAGAGGAGAGAAAATCACTGTGCTATTTCATTACGAATGGTGGAGGTAGTCCTGATGCTGCGGGCTGCAGCTGCAGATTCTCAATTCTACGTACTTACAAGTTCAATTTTGCCTGCAATTGAATGTACTTCTTCAGATACCTCAATTCTATGTACTAACAACTTCAATTTGGCCTGCAGGTTCTCAATTCTATGTAGCAACAAGTTCATTTTTGCCTGCAATTGAATATACTTCTTCAGATACCTTATTCATTTCAGTAACCCTGTATTTCATTACACAAATCTGGTTGTTTTTAACCAACTTTCAGTAACCCTGCATTTCTCATTCAGCCAGAATTACGTGATCAAGACTTTAGGCAACATAGAAAAGCACATACATTACGTCCTTATTTGTCACTGTACCAAATTTTATTGCTTCCTAACATTTCTTTGCAGCCATCGAAAGTATAGCTTGCAGTTCACGGTGACTACATTCTTATCTGGAGTTCCAACTCTTGCCCACTTTGAGAAAATATTCAATGCAATTGAACCACGGATGCCAAGTGAAGCCTTGTTTTCTAGAGAAATCTCAGGACAAATATTCTGTCATATCTGATTGCATAGTGCTATATCAGCAAGGATATGGCATGTAGATTTTTTTGGATGATTGAATAGCAAGACTGAGACCTTTCTTTTAGAACATCCGGCTTGGATGGTGAATTTCTTGGGTGGTTGTATAAAACTTTATTGTAGTTTATTAGTGGATTTTGTAGAAAAAATATTTTGAGATGTGTAGGACTTTCTCTTTCTTTACTTTTTTCTTTTTCCTTTTCTTTCCTCTCCTCTTTTTCTCCCTCACCCCACCAGTGCTCTTCCTCCTCCCCCCCCCCCTCCCCACTGCCGGCTGCCTTCCCCAGCAACTCTGATAGCGATCGAAGCTAACAGTCTTTTTTTTTCTTTTCCTTTCTCCCTCTTTCTCCCTCCTCCATCCCTCTCCTCCTCAACAATTATGCTCACTTGATCAGAGGCCACAAGGGGAGGGGGAAGGCGGTGAAAAAAGATGGAGGTTGCTTGTGGAGGAGCTGCCATTTTCGGCAAAGTGTTAGCCGACGGTGGAGATGGTGGGTTGAGGTGTTGGGAGGGAAGGTAAAGAAAGGAAAGAAAGTAACAAATTTTGTGTGTTTTTAAATATTTGGAGGTGTATATTTTAAAAAATTTTGTAGAGATTTTTGAAGTTCAAAGTTATTAAAAAAAAACTTGTAGAATGCCGTACTGGCTCATGGCAACTTCTGCCACTGTTCTCCTGCAGAGAGGTTTGCCTAATAGCATCATGTGCACTTCTATTTGAGAATTTTCTCATGCTTATCGAAGAATATTAGGCAAGGACAAAATTATTGTAACTTCCACGAGACATAGAGGATGGGATGGATTCCCATGTTATTTGGGTGATGATGATTCGGTGGAATCTTGCATCTGTGATGTATAATCTACGCCTGACACCAGTCAGCTTTGAATCTTTAAAAGGCGGATGTTTCTATAGAAAGCTTAATTAGAGATTCCCCCTTTTTAAGTTTCTAAGTGGATCTGGAGGATTTTCGTTGGTGCTCGTTGATTCATTAAAGAAGTCTAGAGTCATAAAAAATGGATTAATCTTGAATATAAATGACATAATTTTGAAACTCAACTTTTACGTAATGTATCGTAGATTTAATTGTAATAATATAAATACTGTTAGTGTATATAAAATTTATTTTAAAAATACATCCATTCATTCAGTCGGTATTTCCCTAATCTAGCTCTTTTGAGCCCAAAACAATTAGTTTTGGTATTTGGATGATTATACCAATCCAGACATACGCCACAGGAAAGATTCAGAACCTGCAAGATTACGGAATTTGACCCTTTGGGGTGCATTTAGCGGCCTTTGATTAGTAGCTTGCACCCAAAGTGCCCGAATCTTGGCCACAAAAGTGGTCTGCGACAACCAAGACAATCAATGTGCTATTAATTGAAAAGTTGGCTAAAAAGAAAGGAAACAAGTCTTTCTTCTGAAGGACAAAGGAAACAAGTCTCTTGCCACTCGAACGCAAAGTCTATGAAGAATCCAGCATAGACCACGGCCGGACCACCTTTCACTCTCCTTTCTTCCCCAGAAGTCCCACTTTTGCATGAGGACCATTTTTGGAGTTCTGCTGTCTTAATCATCAAATTTTTGTGGTTGATGATAAGCATTTATAAAGTTGAAAAACTTTTTTGCAATTTCTTAACTTTTTTTTTTCAGTTTAAGGGCGAGGTTTGTAATTTTTTGACTTACCCATTTATACCCATCTAATTAAATGAATATAAATGGGTTGACTCACTTATATCCATTATCCATTTTATCCAACCCAAACCCGCCCAAATCACCCATTTTGACACCTCTATTTGTAAGGTGAAAGCAAAATTTTGATAGCGGAATTAGGGACCTTCAATGACCCTATTAGAATTAATACAATTTGAAGTACATAAGAATTACATAAATTAATCCTTTGCTTTTTTTCTTTTTTTTTTACTTTGTTAAGTGATTACGAAGCAACATAATGGTTTATTTGTGCAATTTACATTAAAGGAATTGTGTGAAGAAGTATATCAAATTTTCAATAGGACCTCCCTTACATTGTAGTAATAAAGTTTAACCACCAAATTCAGAATGTTTGGTATGATTTCTCTATGTATAGGATACCAGAACATCGAATTCTAAAGAAGAAAGGGACTAGTTAGTGATTATGAGGTCTCAATTTTGGACTAGATTCCTCTTTAGAAATATCCTCTCATTGGCCTTTTATTTCAATTGGTCTACTCAAACTTCAATTGTTTACCAATTAATGTAATTATGACATAAAAATTATCTGTATTATGTATGAATTATTGCTCTTTTCATTCCATGATTTGAGTCCTTCATTGAAAAATTAGTTTTTTTTTTTAAAGAACGTGTAATTAATGATAAGTTAATATTGAAGGAATTTACAATGTAGCTGTATTTAAATTCTATTATTTTGAAGATTGCACTAGTATGTGGGAAGTAACTTTTCTAAGTGACAAAAAATGAGCAAGCTAATAAAAATTTATGCTGACTTTTAAAAGTTGGCTCTTATTTTGATATATAAAACAGGTGAAAATAGAAGAATAATAATGCGACCAAGGGAGTATCTCATTTGTACTTTTTTTTTTCATCAAGTATAAAAGCTCGAGCACCTTCAGTGTAAAGGTTTGTCTAATCCGTACTTTACAAAAATACAATAATAGACTAAAAAGGAAAAAGGTGAGCTCACTTTTATTGTAAAGTGACATAAAGCCCACGTCTAATATTTGTTGTACCTTAAGGCTACTTAATCGAATGACCCTCAACATAATATTTTCTAAACAAACGACGGGTGCAATTTTGCCACGCTAAATGTACGCGTGGCCGTTCTATTGTATAAGAATACATGACCTAGACAAGGCAATTCATCATACAGTCAATTCTTAGTTCTATTGTTCAACAACAATAGATTGTTTTTCAAAAGAAGATAATGAGATAACCTAGGCATGGCAATTCATCACACAGTCAATTCAGACTTCTCTTGTTCAACAACAATAGATTATTTTTCAAGAGAAGACAATGGTGGTTGGATCAAGTGCCATTGATTTTCTTACCACTTGAGTAAATTTTGGGTTCCAATCTCGTAGAGGATATAAATAACATTTAGGAGAGCCACTCCAACGGTAATCCGATGGTGCTCGACTTTAGATCAATCGGACCCAATGTTATCAATCATCCATCGAAAGGAGTTGAGATCAATCGGAATCCAACGCGATCGGTTATCCACACAAAGAAATTTAATAATGCTTGACTTTAAATTAGTCGGAACCCAACATAATAGTCATTGAATATAATACGATCAACCACTCTTCTAAAGAAGAAAGAATCCGATAGTGTTCGACTCTAAATTAGATTAGTCGAGACTCAATACAATCATTCAACATCGTAAATTAACATCAAAAAAAATATTAACCTAGCCTAAATATTACTAACTTATTTGTTTGCTCCAAACTCAAATGCCATGACAACTCTCCTTCTCTATTCCTTTTACCACGTATATCGAAATCGACGGTGGTAAACTCTAGTAGGAAAGCACAGGCTAGTGACCCTCAACTACACTGCCCATCCTCGCATAAATCTTTGAGATATTGTAGAACGTTTCCCTCTCTCACGCTCCATCTTCACTCGCTTCTCCAAATCTCCCATTAATACGGAGCCGAAAACAGCCTCTTCCAGAAGATTCAGATAAAGCTACATCGTTAAATACAATTTCCATAATCTCGTTGACCATATTACACAAACAGACCATCCGTAATTGGAATTTGGCAGTTACGCGCCCAGCTGCATGTTCGATTTGATAATTGAAGTGAAAAGTTCGGCGGAAGTGACATTTTATACGTCTGTAACCGTACACGCACCCGTTTCCAATCGGGCTATTGTGCTCTACGCGTGTACCGTTCATCTAAGGGATTGTTTGGAAGGTGATCTACTGTATTTTCATTTTCCTTCTACTCAAAATAGAGTACCAATTATTTGTCCTCCAACTAGTTTTTTTTTTCCTTTTGTTTTTCCTAGAATTAGCCTTGCAATTCTTTCGGGTATATGCTTGTTCAAATTGTCCAAGAAGGGCATATAAGAGATTGGCTTCTCAATTTTGAGTTGAGTCTTTTAGGCATGTGATAATGTAGGAGTATTGAATATTGGTGAATGGATGATTAAAAATTTTAAAATTTTATTTATTCCTTAAAATTTACCCTCCAGTGCAAAAATGAGTTGAGTTCAACCATTTATTACGTGTTTGGAGACTAAAAATAGAAGGATGCAGAATTCCGGGTGATTTTAGAGGAATATCTTGACATAATTTTTGAGTTCTTTTTATTCTTAAAATTTTATATTCTTCTATGTTAAATTCAAGGGATTTTAATATAATTAGGATTTCAAACTGCTCAATACATGTGCTATGAAAATCTTAGGTTATTTTTACATCCCTTGCCATTTCATGAAGTTCTTGTGTTGCTTTCGAACTCTCATTTTTAAAAGCTCAAAATCTCCTTGTAACTAAAAAAATATATATACAAGAAAAAGAAGAGTTAAAGAATAACTTGGACGTCAAATCTTGAAATGGTCCTTAAGCTTTCTTCTCCATGTCAAAAAGTCAATTTAATTTTGTCACCATTATAGAAAATATCTAAAAACCTTACAGTGTCTTGCTACCCTTCAAATGAAATATTCAAGGAAAATAACTGAATAATTAAGCAAAGATTTGGACAAAATCAAAACTTAAGCATTCTAATATAAGAGTTTGGAGTTGAAATGCATATTTGCATGTAAATTATTGTCCAACACCTCCGCTCCCCTCCCCCCCCCCCCCCAAAAAATACAAAAAATAAAAAACTTGCAACAGTCAAATTGGCTAAAACTTATAATAGAAAATTTTTCTTTTCCTCGGCAAATATATGCTCTTATCTCTTACTCAGCTTCTAGTTTGTAGTTACATCTTTATATCAGATGTTGCTAAAGAAAAAACTTTGATTAAACTGCAATTTCATTGAATTATATTAAAGAACTCAAACTTTATAAATAAAAGATCAAAACTGAAATCATATATTTGTGTGTATATCACAAAATCAAACAAACACGAAGAATGACCACAACGGATTTTCTGTCCCACATCCTGTGCCATTCTCTGTCTCACTTTTTATTATATTGCTATTTTTCCTTCATAAACATCATGTTTAAGTTCTTTTTTGTTTCATTAAAATCCAATAACTATTAATTCAGTAATAAATAAATACAACAGCTTCAAAAAAGCAATATATAATAGAAAATTAAAAAACACAAAAGAAAATTCATAAAAAATCTCATTTGCATGGGCTTATTTTTCAAAAACATTTTTTTCAACTAAGTTTTTATCTCAAATACACACTGCCTAAAAATCAACTATACTACTACAATTTTGTTTCCAAGAAATAAAAAACACCACAAAAATTATTCTTGAAAGGCAAACATGGTGTTCTTAGGCTTAGATCCAATGGTCCCCGTCATCGTGTAAAATGAGGTAGACATACACACACATGACCACCCTACGTGTATGCAACACAAAGCCATATTTACCATAAATAAATTAAACTTACCTCCCAAGCGTCCTTCTTTACCACTTTTGTATGAACACGGATAATAATACCCTCCACTCCAGAAAAAGAAAAAGTCCAGACACCACCACAATCTAAAATCCAACCTGAAACCAACCAAATAAATAGCGAAATCCCATAAAAAAAATGATGATAATCAAAAGTACAGGGAGAACTATCTAGTAGAGCTTCATCTTTCTCTCTCTCTCTCTCTCTCTTTTTTTTTTGTTCCCTGGTTTTAGTAGTTAGTTCACTATCACAGGAACTACTAGTAAATTAGTTTGTTAAAAAAAAAAAGTGAAAAAATTGCTGAAGAATAAGAGGAGAGGAGGGCAGATGCAACCGGCTGGTGGCGGTGGAGTCGGATTAAGCAGAGGTCTTGGTGGAGGCGGTGGTGGTGGTGGAGGTGGAGGTGGTGGTGGGCTTGCTCGGTTTCGCTCAGCTCCGGCGACTTGGTTAGAAGCACTATTGGAAAATGATGATGACAACGACGTCGTTTTGGACCCACCGGTTTTAGCTTCGAGTAGTAATAAGCCACCTTTGCACCCGCCGGCTTCTTCTCCAGTTCAGTCAACTCAGCAGCAGCAGTCGAGCGCGGCTAGTAGTAGATATGCGGCTGATCTGGGGATGTTGGACACGGTGGGGAGTGGTGGAGGTGGGCTCAGTGGGTTGCTCCGGCAGAATAGCTCCCCGGCGGAGCTTTTGTCTGATGGGTACTTCTCGAATTTTGGGATTCCGGCCAATTATGACAATTTCTTGATGTCTTCTTTGGACGTTTCGTCGGAGTCTCCGTCCAAGCGGCCCAGAGAGGCTGATTCCAATAACCCATCTCCAAAAGCTTCTTCTCAAGTGGTATGTTGTATAATCGAGCACAGTTTAGCTTCATTTATATCTAAGGATTCATGTCCTTTTGTTCTTGTTTTTTATTAGCTTGAAGATTTTGTTTGGTAAATGTTGATTTTGTTAGTTGGTGGGATTTCATTTTTGTAAAGGGAGGCTTTGGCTAGTAGCAGTAACTACCTATTAGTATAAGCATTCAAGTGGAAACTAGTTGACAAGTGGGCATACTTAATTTCCAAATTGGAAATCGAGAGAAAGGCGCAAAAAGGAAAAGGAAAGGAAGAAGGAAGTGGAGTGGAAACATCTGAAATTAATTATGAGATCTAAATGCTTTCTTCTGGCAACTTGAATTGCATGTTTTCTCTTGGATCTTGCTTTTGGTTGATCTATAATATGGACATTGTTTGATGGTTTTTTGAAGGGAAGGTAAAAGACGCAGAAGCTCCAAGGAGTGTAGGTAAATATTAGTAGCTGAAACTGTTTCATTCGATGAGATTTAGGAAGATCATGCAACTTTTGCTTCAGAGGGAGTTGGAGTTTTACCACATATACGTCCATTGTAGAATAGTTGGAGTACTTATGCTACAGATAGTGCTTTTGATGTGAATTGCAAGTTTAGGAGAGCAGAGAAAAGTTTGGTGGAATTTGAGCTGCAAGTTAGGAAGGTGGTGCCTGTTCAGTACGAAATTGTTGTGCAGCATTTTCCTTTTGCGTTTTGCCAATTGAAAAAATTGACTTGTACTAATTACATACTTTTAAATTTGATTTTGAACTCCTTCAATTATGTCACTGTTAACTTTACCCTATAAAGCAAAACTCCTGCTTGATCTTTTCTTTGTATGCTATTCGTGGATTGTGGATTTTTTTGTAACTTTGAATACTTCTAGTGATCTTTGATGGTTACCTGTGGTTTTTTTCTTTTTTGGGCTCACTCCTAAAATTCTCCTGTGCTTACATGTGTGTTTATGATGCATCCATCATTGTCAATTTGGATGTTTTTCTATTTTTGCTAGATATGTCTTTGGTTTTGTTTCTATAGCTATATATATAAAATCAAAGTTTCAAAAAGAACTCACACAGCTTACATATATCACGTCATATTTTAGAAGATGAATCTTGACTTGATGTATATGTTGATGGTGAGCATGTTTGGCTTTTGAAACAGTAAGAGTGGGATTCTGAAGTAATTACTGTTTGTTCTTTTAATGTAAACTAGCTTACCAAATTGAGAAAAACAGAAAGGAGGTTTTCCACTATATATTGTAAACACTAGAATACATTTACCTAGTTGTACCTTTTGGTCTGCAGGTAACTACGTATTACTTAACAGAGGACTTTTTCTAACTACTTCCTCTGAGTTGTGTGGTTGATTGGTTACATGGTATGCTTATGAACCTAAATAAGCACCGTTGACCCTGTTGTCTTTGTACAGTCTATTTACATATGCATATCATATATTTCCTGTAAATCTTCATTTTTCTCAGAGTGGATAGTGATGATACCTTCACTCATCATGTCCATTAACTTGATGATCTAACCTTCTAACCTTAACCTGCCCAGCTTTCCCTTATATGTATAATTGTGACCAAAACTTGTTTTGCACTTCATAGAAAGGAGAGCAAAGTGAGCAGTTGCATGCTGGAATGGGTAGATTGTTGGACTCTGAAATGGAAAAGCTGTCGGAGGATGCTGTTCTGTGTAGGGTTCGGGCAAAACGAGGTTGTGCTACGCATCCTCGTAGCATTGCTGAGAGAGTAAGATTTTGCCGATTATTCTAGGTTCTGCTTCTTTTTATTTGTGTTAAAACTTTGACTAGCAGTTTGTAATTGACAGTTTCCTGTCATTAGTTTGTACATGGGGTCAATTTTTTTTTGGGGGGGGGGGGGTTGTGTGTGTGGGGCAGTGACAAATAGTTGGGGAAAATTTTTATTATATTATGTTTTCCACTATTTGGCTTGAAGAGTTATTTATTTCTTGAATTAGGTTCGAAGGACACGAATCAGTGACCGGATAAGGAAACTTCAGGAACTTGTCCCCAATATGGATAAGGTAATTGACCATGCTAGTGTGATTGAGTTTTTATTAGAGAAATTGGGATTTGTGAAAATATATCAGAAGACCGTCAATGCAGAAATAAAAACCAAATCTGGTTTGCTGGGTGGCTTTCAAAGATTGAACCTAAATGTGGTACTGTGCATTAGATTTTAGCAATTTGAGAGCGGAGCTACTCACTTTGAGTTTACATTTTAATTGAAGGCATTTATATTACAGATATATACCAAGACTGTATCGATTTTCCTAACTTGATGTTGGGAGTTTTTGCTTCTATTACATGCAGCAAACAAACACGGCAGACATGTTAGAAGAGGCAGTAGAATACGTCAAGTTTCTACAGAAGCAAATTCAGGTAATGGAGGCACTGGTCTATAAGTTTGAGAAGTTTCTGACTAAAAGACTGGACAGAAGAGTGTTAGGATGCAATAATAACAAATTTCGTTACCATCTTCTCTCACCGTTTATGCTTTAGGGACAAACAACTTGACAAGAAGTATGCACTAGTACAGCTGTATATTTTTTTAAAGATATTATATATTGACTAAATAAGCGCAAGAATTTCAACTTACAGATAATTGTAAAATGTGGCAGGAACTCAAGGAGCAGCAAAAGAAATGTAAATGCTTTGCCAAAGAGTAATTGCAGAACTGAAACTTTTTCCGAGTGAGCTGAAGTGAATTGGCAATTATGTCGAAGTATTAGCGAAAATATGGTACACTACTGTGCTTCAGTTTCTTCTACACCTGTGGATGCTGCTACTTAAAAAAGAGCTTGGTACTATAAGATCTACACCGTAGTGCCATCACTGTCTACCACCGAGTCTACCACCGAGTCTACTTTCTTGGATGCTTTTGTGGTAGATGTCAAATATCATGTAAATTACCTCTTTGCTCAAGCATGTTGTCCGGAAACTATCTATGTTTTGCTTCTTATTTTAGGTGAAATTCGTTTGCCATAAAGACTGCATGTACCATGGCGATATTAATCAATAAAACTTTTGGTAGTACCAGAAGTTTGTAATCAATTACATAATCCTTGCATGACATACTTATGTCCCTTTTTGACTCGTTCAAGTGAAGGGGCTTCCTTTGGGAGCTACTCTGTTTCTTGCATCTGCTGCAACTAAAACTGTGAAATTCCATTCAAAACGCACAGAAATACAAAATGCACTGATACTTTGAAGGTTGCTGTTTGAGAACAAAACGGCAAGCAAACACATCCAATTTGAGACTGAAGCAGTAATATATAGAAAGCGAGGAATTTGTCTCATAGTTGCAGTATCCTAGGACCAAATGGTATAGTTACTATTTTTCCCGAAGTACCGTCTATATGTTTTCGTGTCTGTAATGCTTTAGGTCTATATGTTTTTGTGTCTGTAATGCTTTAGCTCTGGACCCTGCTTTTTGATACGTTGATTATAAACTTGGGTGGTTTTATGTGCAAACCTGTTAGGCTTGCAAAGTTAACTGATTGTCCATAACAGCTTATTGTTGTCCATTCTAAAGTCCAAGTCTCTTTTGAACTGTGGTATCAAATCTTCAATCTTGGGAAAAAGGAAAAGAAGTGGTCTGCATTGGTGAAACAAACGAGTCTTGTTTCTCTATCTTAGTATGAAATTCTGTAACTTGTCCTGAAGCTGCAGAATGTCTTAATAGTCTTTACATAAGAAAACGAATGCAAGTAACTGCATTGGTTAAAACTCCAGTATGGTCTTCGTTAGGGTCATCAGATTATACATAGTGATAGTAGTGTTTATAGGTAGGCTGTGTGCTAGATTGGTTGAAGACTACAAGCTTTGGGGTTTGACAGTTTAACTTGAGGAATAGACAAAATGGGCGTTTGAGGATCTCAATTAACCAAAATGTAGTGTTGCTTCAAAGATCAAACTGGTAGAAGTAACCATTTTCGATGTCTCCACAGAAATTAATCTTTCGTAACAAGCAATTATTGAAACTGATTGATGTGGGTGATGTGAAAGGCCTGTATCTATGTGCAAAGACATTTCTGTCTTCTAGCTTTTGGAAGTGTAGGTCTTTTTCCTTGCGAAATAATATACTGGCTGAAAGCTTCACGGTCCTATGTAAATTGGGCGACATGATGTGATAAGGAAAGATTTCTGTTACGTTTTTGTTCTCTTTGATATCTGATGCTTAGAAAAGGACCTGACAAGAAAGATCAATCAAAAGAAAGTACACGATCTTGGCGCAGTTGTTTGATTTGCTGCTGGTGAAGGTGAACTAATGTTCTGAATCAGTTAATTAATCAACTTAGTAGAATAACTTGTGCCATGAACAGAGTTCGATAATCAATGTTTTATTATCTTAAATACAGCTCAAAGACTTGAAGCTTTTTGGGTCTAGCCAAAGAAATGGGAGCCCTGAAAGATGTAGGGAGGGATTGGGGAATTTTGGTTGCTTTTAGTTTCCAAACAAAACGCGAATCAAGTTAGAAAGGGCAATACTAGAAGAGCCTAAATGTTGCCCAGATTCAACAGCTATGTCTCTTATCATCTTGCTCAGCTCTCTAAGCTCTTGTCCTCTCTCTGAATCCATCAATTCTCTAATCCTTTTTTCGACCTCCTCCGCACTTGCAATGCCATCATTGCCTTGCTCCACTGGAATTGCCATCTTCATGTCTTGGACCAGTGCAGCCATGTTAACATGCTGTTCAGCATATAGCGGCCAAGCCACCATCGGCACACCTGCAACCACGGCTTCCAAGATTGAGTTCCACCCACAGTGAGTCGCAAATCCCCCCACTGCAGGGTGTCTCAGCACCTGCATCTGAGGTATCCATGACTTCACAACCAGGCCTATACCTTTGGTTTTCTCCAGAAACCCCTCTGGTAGTATGCTGTCAATCTCAAAACCACCTGATCCATTAACCTGTGTGCTTTTGTTGTCGCCTTGAGGTTTTTTGACAACCCACAGGAATCTCTTACCACTTCTTTCCAACCCTTTAGCAATCTCCGTTATCTGCTCAACTGAGAAAGTTCCTCGGCTTCCAAAGCACAAGAACACTACACATTTGTTCGGCTGTCTATCAAGCCATGAGAAGCAATCACTCTGATCCAAGTCAATACCTTCATCACCATCTTCAGCTGGTCTACTATCAGCTTCAGCTATCAATGGCCCAATGTTGTATAGGGGTGGAGTAGGAGCATCAGGAACACACAGACCATCTGTAATTGCCTTCAAAGCAATAGGTTCTAGCTCGTCAAATGTGTTAACTATGATACCACTACTCTTAGGGAGATGAACAGAAAAATATAGTATATCATCAGAGGCAGGGTCAACTCTGTCCAGCACTGGCTCAGGCATATGTGTTGCTGGTATAGGAGGCAACCCTGGAACATCAAACTTAGTCTGAACAAGATCTTTAAAGCTTTCACTTGTTTGCTTGTGGATTGTGGGAAAGTACAGATAAAGAGCAAGAGCTGCAGCACCAGAAGTAAAGAAATAGTAAACCGGGGTGCCAAGATTATTGGAATAAGGCATCGCTGATGTGCAGAAAAAATCAATGATCATAGCCCTAATGGATGATGTCTTAGAGATTTCCTGGAGAGCATGGTGGACATTGGGAGCATTCTTGCGGATGAATTTGAACGCAATGGCAGGTGGACTGAGATTAGAAGAGAAATCCGCTTGAATGAAGGGGAATTGGTGGAAGATAATGCAGGGATTAGTCCTGGAAATGTAGTCAAGGTAAGTTGATTTGATGTCACGAAAGCCAGTGGTGATGAGGATGTGGATTCTTGAGAATTTGTTGCTGTAGTGGCGAAGGATTAACTTGGCCAGCTCCAGCATCGAGATCATATGGCCTATTCCTGGTGCTGGATACAGGACAAGGGTGTTCTCCATCTTCTAGCTTCTGATTTGCAGTTGTTGAGAAGAGGCAGAATGGTACTGGAGATGGGTATATGAGCTTATGAATGAAGATTCTTGCTACCTTGTGTGCCTAACTACTTTAGTAGATGCCTGCGTGCGGTCCTGACTCTTCACACGCCTATACAAAAATAATTTGTACCAGGTAGGAAGTTAGGAACTACCATGACTTCCTCCACCGGTCCGGTCCCAGTGCAGTAAGACGGGAGGAGAATTCCTCGAAAGAAACTAAAAGTTGTGGGCCCTGTTCAATGACGTAAACAAGAACATATTTATGAGATGGGATAAATTCATAAGAGGTTTTTAACAATTTTACTCGACTCCCCTGAGGTTTATATAATTACGGGACCTCTCTTAATGCAATAAAAAGATAACAATGTCTTTCATTAATTGTTAATTCATTGAAAAATTTTAACAAAAATTAAAAATTTCTCATCAATTATCAATTATGAATTGATGATTCAAATTATAGTAGTTTACATTTAATTCTCTATCACTTTCCTCTTGTATCTTCTTTCCTTCTAATTCATTTTTTTAACTCATTGACCTAATATGTATTGTCGCCACCAACAAAATCACCATGCATACCGACCATCACTGCTTACCCCTCTTAGTGTATATTCTCAATTCTTTCTCTTTCATTACTATTAAACATCTTCTTTGTGCCCATTTTTATTTTCAATTTTTGATAGGTATTAGCAAATTGAAATTGTCAAATGATAAATGATGGTTTCGTTATCAAACTAGATAGTGATGAAGATGGTGGCGGTGATAAAAAATAAAAATTTAGGGGGTGGGAAGTGGAAGAGGGACTAAATAAAGATTATAATATTATGGTTGTTATGGAAGCAATGTTCTGGGTATATTTATCATTGTATTGTTTTTCTATTTTTGATTTGCAGTTATTAGCAATTGCATTCCTACAGAGAGAATTTAATTGATTTTGAACTCTATTCTGATTGAGTATATTGGATGTTGGTATTTATGGTAATGACTAAGGGGGCGTTTGGTAAAAGGGTATCGGAATGAATAATGGAATAAACTCTATAACTGGTGTTTGGTTCACTGGTATGGGAATTGAAATTTTGAAATGATTTCTAAAAATTTAGCATCTCTCCATTCCCTAGTAAAAGGGTGGGTTTTGTCCAAAACCCAAGTGTGATTCCAAAATCTTATAATTACATAATATTTAGTATAATTAATATTTATATATATTATATTTATATTTATATTTATATTATAATATATACATATATATAATATATTACAATTATAATATTAGTATATTATATAAATATATATTATAATTATTTAGTTAAATATACTTATATTTATATAATATAAATTTATTAATATTATATAATAATATATTTATAATATATGCATATTTATAAATGTATATTATATGTGCATATAATTATAATATATACATGTATATAATATTAATAAATTATAGGGTTAAATACCAAAAAACTCCCTGTGGTTTGGCTAATGTTCACTTTAACTCCCTATGTTTTGGAAACCTACAATCTGACTCCCCGTAGTTTCAAGTAAAGTGAAATCTGACAGAAAACATCCACAATTAACGGCTGAATGAAAAATGTCAAAATTGCCCTTCTATAAGTCCATCCCTTCGAAGCTTTCGTGCAATTGTGAATTGGAAAAAAAGAGGCGGAGAGAGCGAGAGAAAAGGGGGCGACAAAAAGAAACCCTAGATTGAAAACTTTCTGAACGATTAGTGAAGATTTCTAGCAGAATAGGACGTCAATTGCAAGCACAGGACAACAAGACATCAACTGTATCATATCGAAGGCTTGGGAGAAGACCCGTAGCAGGATGGGTAAGCTTCTAAGCTTTGAATCCATCCTATTTTGACGATCTCTTTGTTTGGGAAAATAATCTGGATAATAATGTTCATAAACACCTTGATTTGTATGCTACTATGTATTGAAATGATTATTTATAGACTTAGATGGACTGTGATTGTTACGATTGATGTTTCCAATTTCTTATATATCTTAGTTTGTTTGAATAATCTGGATTTTGTTGTGAATAAATAGTTGAATCCGCATGTCTAGATCTAGATGTATATGACTTTTATGATAAAGCCATTAGAAAAAGGTTGATAAATTCTTGCTGTCTGGTGCCATTCGAGTTGTTGGAAAGAAATAATTAAATATATCACCGTCATGGGGCCAGATTGTTGTTAAATTCTAGCTGTGGAGAAATTGTTGTTATTGTTGGCAATTCCTAAATGTCTAGATGGGGCCAGATTCTTGTGAGTAGTAGTTGTCAACATAAATTATTACATAAAGTACAATCAACTTACTTTATATATGTGTATAACAATAAAAAAAAATTTGCACTTGTCTGGTTATCAGAAGACAACACACAAGAAAAAGAAAAAGAAATGGTCGAGATACACATGTACTTTGGAGGAATTTTTAGAAGTGAGCCCAACACAGCCTATGTAGGAGACTACAAGCTAGCCATATGGAAGGATAGAGATCCAAGTGAGCTGTCCATAGTTGGACTGTGTAGAATGTTCAAGCTAATTGAGAAGGATGCAACTAGGGTCACTTTTTGGTGGTGTGTACCGGATTTGGACATGGAAACTGGATTACTGCCAATTGCAGGGAATGATGATATTAAGTTGATGAATGACGCGCATTTGCATCTTCCTATAAGGGTGATATATAGTGTAAGTGGGGACCAGGCATTTGAAGAGCCTCCCGAGCATTGTGATGGGGCCAGTATGTTGCAAAAAGAGGGTGCAAATGCTAGCCACGCATGTGAAGAAACTACAGATAGAGCAGACTCTGAGCATGCGGACAAAGTGGATAAACCTGATTGGTTAGATGAGGGGCTTGAAAGCATAGAGGAGGAAGATATTTTTGCTGTGAAACCATCTGAGAAAGAGGCTGCGAAGCCAAAGTTGCATGTGTTTGCTCTGAAGGGTGATCTGAAAAGTCCAAAGAAACTGGCTGCAAGAGATCAGCCTACTATTGAGGAGAGGGAAAGACTAGCCAAGTACTATTCTGCATGTTCACACTTGCAAGACAGTGGAAAGCAGAAACAACAACAGGGATTAGAAGACTTTGAAGGACTGAACAGTGTAGTTGGATTAGATCACAATTGGAATGAACCTGTAATCCCAGATGAGGAGCTGCTTGAGAGGACTGGTTCTGATGGTGAGAATGTTGAAGAATATCTAGATTTTGATCCAGAAGTTGAGTTTAAGAAGCCTGTTTTTGAACTAAAAATAGGCCACAAGTTCAAAAATTTTAGATTATTCAGGCTGGCTTTGTTGGAATGGAATATAAGAGAGGGATATGAAACAAAGTGGGTCAGAAATGATTCCTACCGAATTACAGCTGTGTGTGAGAGGGGTTGTTCATGGAGGATCCATGCATCAAAAGTTCAAGGGACTAGTACCTTCCAGATCAAGACTTTGAAGGGTGAGCATTGTTGTGGTAGAGAGTACAACAACAAACATGTTACAGCAAGATATCTTGGCCAAAGATATCAATTTAAGATTAGGGATGATCCTAAGTGTAACTTAATTGGTTTTCAGAATGAGGTTAAAAGGGATTTGATGGTCAATGTCACTCCATCTAAGCTGTATAGAGCGAAAAGAAAGGCAAGAGAAGATATACAGGGATTAGACATGGAGCAGTATCATAATCTGTGGCATTATGCAGCCACGATCCTGAAGTATAATCCTGGTAGCACAGTGAAGATTCAAGTTGACAAACCTGATGCAGCATCTACTGGTACATTTGAAAGAATGTACTTCTGTCTTCATGCTTGCAAGCAGGGATTTCTTGAGGGATGTAGACCAATTATTGGTTTAGATGGGTGCTTTTTAAAGAGTGCATTTGGAGGCCAGTTATTATCTGCCTTAGGAAGAGATGGTAATGATAATATGATCCCAATAGCACTAGCTGCTGTTGAAGTTGAAAGGTATGACTCATGGAGGTGGTTCCTACATCTTCTACTGGATGATTTAGGATTGGGGATGGACAACACACCCTGGACATTTATTTCAGATCGACAAAAAGGACTTGTTCAAGCTCTTAGAGAGCTTTTTCCTGACTCTGAGCATAGGTTCTGCGTAAGACATATGTATCAAAACTTCAGCCAAAAATTTAAAGGAAAAGAGCTGAAGGACATGTTTTGGGCATGTGCAAGTACTGGAAATGAGGCAGACTGGCATCTGGCAATGAAAGACATGGAAAAAGTTGACTCACAAGCATCAGCATGGCTTTCAAAATTTCCACCAACTATGTGGGCCAGATCACACTTCAGTGGAAGAAGTAAGTGTGACATATTGGTTAACAATTTAAATGAGTCGTTTAACAATTACATTCTTCCAGCAAGGGAGTTGGCTGTGGTTGGGATGTTTGAATGGATCAGAAGAAGACTAATGCAACGATTCCAGATAAAGAGGACTGGGATGGAAAAATTTCAAGGTAAAATATGTCCAAACATCCATGAGAAGATTGAAAATAATGTAAGATTGAGTAGGACATGTGTTGCTATATGGGCTAATGGTTGGATATATGAAGTTGATTGTGGTATTAACAAAACCTTAGTTGTAGACCTACAGGATTGGACTTGTACATGTGGGTTATTTCAATTAACAGGTTATCCATGTGTACATGCATGTGCAGCAATACAAGCACGTAAAAGGCCAATTATTGATTTTGTCCACAAATGCTACAGCAAAGAGGCATATGTAAAGACATACAGGCATGTAATTATGCCTGTACCAAGTGCAAGGTATTGGGAGAAGGCCAATGAAGAGCCAATTAATCCTCCATTGATAAGAAAGATGCCTGGAAGGCCAAAGAAGGTGCGGAGGAGAGCACCTGATGAACCAAAGAAGGGACAAATATCCACAAGAAAGGGACTTACTGTGCATTGTAAGAAATGTTTCAAGCCTGGACACAATTCAAGAAGTTGCAAGAATTCAATTCATCCAAATTCCAAATTTAACAAGGTACAATCTTCTTATGCATGGCTTAGGCTCTTCTTTATCTTTATTACTAGCAGCTGATAACTTATTTGTTTTGATGTCATAGGCAAATCAAGAGCCTGCTGGTGAGAGTTCAGAGCCATATGGAACTAGCCCCTCTGCTGGGCACACTTCAGAACCAGCCCCTCAAGAAAAGCCAGTTGATAATCCCAATCCATC